TTTAGATTAAAGAAGATGTTTAGTTACAACTATAATTTGATAGAAATAATAATAAAAAATAGTAAAGAATCTAAAAATAAAATAATAATAATAAAGAAAAGCACTCATAAATCAAAAAAATTAAAAAGAGAATTGATAAAAAATCATCATCATTTTTATATATTAAGAATAGAGACAAGAAAATTAGATTCAATTCTAATAATAAAGATAGTTAAGAAAAAATCTATTATTAGATAGACTATTAGTAAAAAGAAAAAAGTAGATGAAGTAAATTTGGAGACTAAAGCTCAATCCAAAACTGTGAAAATATGAAGGTAAAATAATGAAGAGTACAAAGAAAAGTTAATAAAATTTTTAAATAAATACAAAGATATTTTGGCATAGAGCTATGAAGATTTAAAAGATGTTTATGCTCATATCTTTAAACTTCAAATTAAACTTGAACTTAGTACACAACCAATCAAACAAATAAGATGTTAAATAAAACCAGCTTATGCTACTAAAGCCAAGAAAGAAATTGATAAATTACTTAAAATAAGATTTATTTACTTTGTGGATGAGACAAAATTTCTATCTTTAAATAGTAATTTTTTCTAAAAATAATAGCAAATTCTAAGTTTATATTGACTACAAGAAGTTTAATGAAGTCACAAAAGTAGACCCTTTTCCATTGCCTTTTATCAATGAGGTATTTAAAACTGTGGCAAGTCATAAGCTTTATTCTATGTTTGATAGATTTAATGGTTATAATCAAATTCCAATGGTTGTAAAGGAGCAACTTAAAACTTATTTCATTACAAAATAGGGACCATTTGCATATTGAATAAGGCATTTTAGGTTATAAAATGCATTTGCTACATTTCAAAGAATACCTATGCATGCCTTGGCAAAATACTTGAATGATTTAATGCAAGTTTTTTTTGGTGATTTTAGTGTATATAGAATTCAAATTAAACATTTGGAGCATTTACAAAAATGTCTCTAAAGGTGTTGAAAATATGAGATTAATATCAATCAAAAAAAATATACCTTTTTAGTTACCTTAGATGCATTATTAGGTTATATTATTTATAATGAGAGATTATTAAAAAAATCAGAAAAATTACAAGCTATAGTTGCTTTATTACCTCTAAAGAATCTTAAAGGGTTGTGTGAATTTGTACATTCTACTAATTATCATTGACGATTTGCCCATAATTTTGCAAATCTTTTACAACTTTTCACAAACTTAACAAAATCCAATATTAAGTATATATGGACTAATGATTTTCAATAAGCTTTCGAATTCTTAAAGATAAAATTAACTATTATGTCAATATTAATTACACCATATTAGAATAAATTCTTTTATATACATTGTAATGCTTCAAATGAAGCAATTGAAAGTGTATTGGCCTAAAATATTATGGGCCAATTAGACTCACTAATTTATTATATAAGTCAATAACTAAATCACATAGAAAAGAATTAAAGTACCACAATAAGAGAAGCTTTGGTAATAGTTTATTTAATTCAAAAATTTCAACATTATTTATTGGCAAATCATTTTATATTCTATGTTGATCACTAAGCATTATTATATTTAATCAACAAACCAATAGTATTAGAAAGAGTAGCAAGATTAATGTTATTATTATAAGAATATGATTTTAAAATTGTATGTAAACTTAGATGATAGCATGTGATAGGAGATCATTTGTCAAGAATAAATACTAGGAAAGTGCCTATGGATGTAATAGATAATCTTTTGGACACAAACTTGCTTATGGTGCAAGTTAATCTAATAAGATATAAGAGCCAATATCATTCATAGATTGGTAAGCATCATTTGCTGATTCTCTAAAAAATAAATAACTTATTACAACCACCTTAGTTAACATCAAGAGAAAAATTTCTATTTAAAAATGATATTTTTATTTAGTTAAAGCAGATCAATTAAGAAAAACTTGTTTAGATGGAATAGAATGAGTTTGTTTAGCAAGTTCTATTACAAAAAATATTATAATTGAAGGTCATGAAGGACCTACTAGAGGTCATTTTTTGGCTACTATTATATTACACAAGATTCTTATTACTTTGTTTTAGTAGCCTATATTAAGAAGAAATGTCCATAATTATTGCAAGCAATGTGATGTTGATCAACAAACAACAACTAAATCAAATAAATACAAAACCCCTTTGTATCCAATATTACTATTAGAAATATTTCAACAATAGGGAATTGATTTTGTTGGACCAATAGATTCCAAGGCTAATTTAATAAGAAATAGATATATTATCTTTGCAACTAATTATACAACTAAATAGATAGAAGCAAGAGTATTAAGAGATAATAGTACTAAGTCAATGGCCAAATTCTTACATGAAGAAATTATAACATGTTAGGATGTCCTATTCAATTAGTTAGTGATCAAGGGATAAATTCTATCAATGAAACAATTCAATTATTGACAACAAAATTTATCATTCAACACCAAAAATCCACAACTTATTATCCTTAAGAAAATGAACAAGCTAAATCAACTAATAAAGTACTTAAAGTTGTTTTGACTGAAACAGTTAACATCTGTGTACCTCATGCACGGTTTCCATCCACTTGTCAGCAAGAGTTTTTGTGTTGCGAGCTTGTTAAGTTCACACGTCCTTTGTTTGCTGTGTTCCTAGTAATAATTTACTGCAAGGTGGTGTGAGCTTCTTCGTCAGGTTATGGTGTGTTGCACCTACTTCTTCAAGTGCAACGCGCCAAACCTGACCGGAGGCGTCAAGAAGTGTTTTCTGAACTCTTCATGTTCACAAGCATCGCTTCATGCGGTGAATTGGATTTGGGTAATGGGTCAAATATATGCATGCATCGAGAGAACTGGTGGCGGTACGGATTGTTGTGCTTACAATTCTGTTTGTCTTAGATAATGTATGTTGTTCCAAACTCCATTTACTCTTGTTGATGGCAGCAATTGCTGTTGAATTCATCTCATCCCTTGCTCGGTATCGCAATTGCCGTTTCACAGTGAGAACAGATTACGGATATGCAAACCACTGCCTCCATTTACAGTATACGTCTCAAAAAGCTTTTACTTACCCCCACTTACAACCATGCATCAAGCTCTTGCACTGCTTGTTTATGATCCCTTGCCCAAGTTTGCATGCAGTTGTCTGATTTGACTTGTGAGAGTTGTGAAGCAAATTTGTGTTCAAAGTGTTTGCAGCAGATGTGTACCGTAACTTCTCGGTTGTAAACTTCCCCGCAGTTGTTGCCTGAGGGACTCGGTAGTAAGCAAGTCTTGAATATCGCCCGCTTCAGTTGATAGCAACAAATATTGTAGATCAAACTAAATGTGTGAATGCATGAGCAGAGAGTGCACTGTAACTGGTTTTGCAGGTGTTCATGTGCACTAGTTGGAAGGGCCAAAAATGTTTTGGAAGAGATCCATTCCGGCCATGATATAATTTATTTTTTTGTAGCAGCCAATGTGGATTGTTAGCTTTGTGTAGAGTGTGAATGAGATGAAGATTAATTGGCTATTCTTAATTTTCTTTTATATGCATACATCTTCTAATCATTTCTTTCATTGTGATTTATTTGATATTTTCCTTCTCAACTTGGAATCCTAATAAAATTTACTTTGAACCAGCCATAAAAACATGGTTGAAAACATTAAAATAAAATAAAGTAAATTATATGTATATATATATATATATATATATCAATAAAATCTACAAATTTGTGAGATAAACTGGTGACGAACATAGTAATGATCTTTATCATAGGTGATATGCTTGACATTGCTCTTTTAGGCATACCATCTTATGCATAATTATTTATCTTGTTTATACAACATTAAAAAGAAGTATAGTATAATTAAATTTTTTATTAAATCATATAGATACAAAATAAGGAAAAAAAGAGAATTCAAAAACAAACCAGAAAATTAAAACATATTAAAGTTGATGAAATGAAAGATGCTTTTTGAACACAATTTTCAAAAGATTTCATTAATTGACTTTGCTGCTAGTTTGGCTTTTTAAAAAACAAAATTTGAACCAAGCTTTATATAATATCAAATCTGATTTTTAAAAACTTATTCTTACAAGAATGGCATTTTTTGTTTGTCCTCTACAATATGTTGTCTATATTATTAGTTTTGTATTGTTTTATTTCGTTTTATTAATTTATTATTTATCTATTTTATGAAATGTTGAGCATCTTTGTACCACCTTTTGGCAACAAAATAAACTAAGATCATTGCATAAGCTACCTTGAATGTATTGCAAATCAATATTACATCTTAAATTTCAACATTGGAGATGCACATATTTTTGTATACCTTCCAAGAATTGGTCTTAAAATCAAAAGATTTTACAACCATGTATTTATTCTCAAAACTTGCTACCTCTCTCCTCCCCCTTAATTTTTGCTCACTCAACCATATCACCCTCTTTTCTAATGACAATATTTTAACCTACTTGCACAAAAAGAAAATAAATAGCTCAGATTTCTTATATACCATGCATGCAATGTCTAGATAAATTAAGCACTATTTTGATCAAGTCAAGAAAAGGATAACTGTAATTTTTTTTCAAACAATAGAACACAAAATCTAGCTCATTTGCATCACATTTTCTTAAGTGTTGGTTATATTCAATTAGAGTATACAATACAAGATAAAACTAGTTACTAAAGACCATTCACAAATACTGGGTGTAAATCTTAATAATGCCCTCATACCCATCCCCAAATTCACCACTACTTACATGATTGCATTCGGAACAATAATAAAGTTGAAGATTCATTAAATGGATATAAAGATGGCTTTTTGGACAGAGAGTTGGTGAAAAATACCTGTAGAGATCTGCCTGGTGGAAGGCAACCAGGCAAAGAGAACCATGTTCCCCAAAAGCATGCTTGAGCATCCGCCTAGTACATGTGAATTGCAATATCACTGGAAAAGAAACTGATCCGTCCCAAGCATTTGAGCCCATTATAGTCCACTGACAGCAACTGAAAACCAAAAAGCTTCTCTTTAAATCCAACTGTAGCATATCTTTTGGATCTGATATTCGATGTATCCATTTGCATACTAAAGAATTACATCAGAGAGATCTTTGCCCTGTTAGATCACCACACGAATTCATTGGAGCCTTGAGTGCCAGAGGTGTGTTTCACAACGTGGAACAGCTGCGCATAACTCACAAATCCTTCCTACTTCTGCAAGTGAATAAATGATTTGATGTTTAAGGTAGACAAAAGAGACTTCAGTGATTCCATACATGCATATCAATCTTTCTCTAGAATCGAATCAGCAAGATCTAAGTTGATCTTTGCTGCAGGTTGAGCGATCAGCTAGCTACAAATCCTTCCTTTTCTCATTGCCCAACATCGATCTTCTCCTCCTCCGGGTGCTTTAACACGGTTGCCTCCGTCACGTGACCCTTTATCCTGCTCATGTCTAGTCGTGTTCTGTAATGAAAGTTCACTTTGAGTTGAACACCCAACATATTATGATTCTTCAGCTGGTTGTACTTCTCTCGAAGCTTTCCCACGTCCATATCCATAACTAGGAGCTTCTTGCGCGTCTTCATCTCAAATTGCTCCCGGGACTTCTTGTCCACATGTGGTGATCGGTTGACGGTGAAGAGGATTCGAGTTGTAGGTAAACCCACTTTGCTGACGTTCTTCAGCTTTCCTGGTTGAATTTTCTCAAATGATTTCAAGACTATAGACATTCTGGCGGACGCTCCAGCACCAGCAGCCATTTCTTCGATGCCGTCAAGTGCATCCACCTGTCAAATAAGAGCACCCAAGTTCCTGTGAGCGTCACAGCTTTGAATAATCTCGACATCAAAGTGCGAGAGAACTGAGTAATTACTGTGTGAGTTTTAGACGAAACACCTTTCGAGTAAAAAACATAGATAAGGTTTAAAGAAGCCTGAAGGGACACCAAATGAAGAAAACTAAACTTCTAGAAGCACGACAGACTTTTTTTAAATTAAAGTTAATTTAAGAGGATCCAGAGATTGAACTTCATGTCTTGAGAGAGGTTTACATACTTGCGATTCTGCTACTCCAGGAGGCCGTTTTCCTACTCGAGCAGCTGCAACTTCAGTATACATGGATCGCTTAATCCCTCCTGCTGACCAAATACCATCACGCATCAACCCTGGGAATCCACTGGACGCCTGCAAGTAACGCACGACCCAAATGTCATTACAAATAGAAGAAGAAATAACTACCACAAAAGTTTTGGGCTTTCATCGCAAAACTTCCTTCATCGTCTAGTCTGGAGTAACTGCTCGAGTTACCCCTTACATGTTTAAACATTTCCAATTATGATCTTTTCATATCCCACAACCTCCACGTCTTCACTACTAAACAATGGTGAAAGTTCAAAAATACCAAATTAGTCTAAAAATGAGGGCCCTAGAGTCATTTCATCGCAAAGGGCTCTTCACAGGAAGGTCGATGCCTCAACCCCATCGACCAACAAATTCAATTTCTCGTATTCCCGTGAACCCGAGACACGCCTTCAATTCTCGAAAATGCCCACAAATCAATCCACGCACCTCCGATCCTCCAAGGGTGCTGTGCCAGCGGTGTCGCGGCTGAAAATCACTGATCGCACATTCTGACGAATCGTCACGTGCAGCAACATTTCGGAACGGAGAGGCAGCTCGTCCACTAACCTGCATTCTCCACAAAAACCCACTGTAATCTATCACCCTCGAAGCCACCCACCATTCCAAAATTCGAAACCCTAAACCCCCCCTAATCCCTGGTATCAGAAACCCAGAAAAGAAATAATTGAATAGACAAGAGCGGCAGACGTGCTACCTGCAATTGAGGGAGCAACGCCGACGACGCAGATCGCCTCAGAAACAGCTTCGCCGCCATCGCCCGAGCCATGGCTGCGGCAGAACTCAGTCTCGACACACGAAGCTAAAGAGTAGAAGACTGCATGTCTCTGTCAGGAGAATGGGGCTGAACTTCGAGACATGGGACGTCGTGAAGATCACTGACAAATCGGCAATTCCGACCTTCGCGACGCTCAATTTTCTTATTAAAAACGAAACCCTAAAATTCTTCCGAACTAGTCGAAACACTGAGAAGTCCTTTTCACACAGGCAACAGAAGATGTACCATTCCTTTATGTTTGTACAAGTGGGTTAAATGTAGAGTGTTGTTAATGTCACCACAATTTTTGCTACTGCCACTACAATTTGCCATCCACCACATATCATTACAGTTTTTGCTAATGCCACCACAAGCTGCCCAAAATCACAATGCAATTTATGGAACATTGCTAATGTACACCACAATAGATAAAGTGCACATTCTTTATGGATGTATCTTTTAGTGTTCTATGAAATGCAAATTTAGAATGTAAATTTACAATGTGACATAAATTTACAACAAAATGCAAATTTACAATGTGGTGTGCAATGCAAATTTTATAACAACTTGTGGTGGCATTAGCAAAAACTATGATGGCATGTTGTGGTGTCAATAACAACACCTTGAATATAACCTAATTTGTGTATACAAATAAGTTCACTTGTTTATGTACAATGTTAGATTGAAACATCTATTGTAATGGTAAAAACCGAATGTGGAATCCTAATCAATGAACTTGCCAAATATAAGACTTGTGAAATCATGAGATTCTAATTTAGATAGTTATTCTAATGTGTTGCATTTACTTCTAATGATGTGTATTGATTAAAGTCATATTTTATTCAATTGTTAAAATTAACATAATTTCTTTTAAATGATTTCAATTTTTTTGCTTATATAAATATGTATTCTATGTATGAGTAAATATAATTACAAAAAATAACAATAAAGATATATGAATCTTTGCATCAAAACCATTATAGAACACAGACTAACATTGAAGTATTTGAGAAGTACATTGTGGATGTGTAGAGTGACTTGATAAGAGAGACCAAAAACATATTCTGATGAAATTAGTCCAAATGGGAAAAAAAATATTTTCTTTTACTGAAAAATACATTTGATAGGATAAATACATGTGGTTACAAAATACTTGCACAATACATATGTATATATGTATACATACATATATATATATATATATATATATATATATATATTCATAGACATATACATATATAATTTCTAAACCTACACTAAAAAAAATTGATTACGAAATTAATGTTGGCAGATTTATATATACATCAAAATACAATGAGTTGTGTTATGGCGTTACATTTGTCAAAAAAAGCTAAGTTCTACTTGTTGCACAAATGCATACATATTGTAAAGCCCGATTGTGCACTGAAAACACAAACGAGATCCAGAATTGTAACAATTAGCACAATGAAGTACACCAAATACTTGCGTTAGGGTGGTTGAGTTGGTTTCATACTAGTTCCTCCTACTAAGAAAATCAATTAATTCAAAAAAATAATAATAATAATAAATTTTTAATAAATTAACAACTTTGCTAATTAATTTTTAAAATATGGCTACTGTTTACGAAAATGCTCAAAAGTATAATAAACTTATTTAAACTCTTCAAATGATAAAGAAAAAGGGGTACGATTAAAATAAAATAAAAAAATAAAAAGATGGAAAAAGGAGGTTCACATGCGTTAAATTTCACTTAATAACACGAGATTACTTTTAAGAGGAGTCGTTTGTCAAGGTAACGACGCGTGTCAAATTATCGGAGAAATAAATAAACAAAAACTGCCCTTGAATGAAGAACAAGGCCCTACAGAGGATAAACATGGCCTATGGCCGAATCTAACGGGCTTCGGTGCCCGCTTTCTGGAGGGTGTGAGCGGCGTCGACCTGAAGGCGCGAGTGCGAGAGAGACGACGACAGCAGGATTGGTTCGAATCGATAGATTGCAGGATTGCTGCTGCGGCGCTCGTGGTCGGGATGACGATGTGAATTGCGACGATCCGTGGAGGTTTCGAAGGTTCGCTGATACTCGGTGAGAGTAGTAGACATGGCCTCGGGGCTTTGCTTGTCGCATAGCCTCCTGCACACCCGCGGGCCCCTGCGGCGATGGTGCTGCTCGTCGCTCGCATTCGCCTCTAGACCCAGCGCGAATGCGTTTCTGGGCGCTCGCTATGGCAACCACAATACCTTATCAGTGCTGCGGCGGAGCGTGGTGTCGTGCTCGGCCTCCAGCCTCTCCACCGCTGCGAGCGCGGGCGTTGCAGCGGAAGGCGTCTCTCGCAATGTGGTGGAGGTTTTGGAAGAGAGAGGGTTGATCGAGTCTGTGACGAGCGAGGAGCTGAAGGCGACGTGTATGAAGCAGCGGCTCAAGGTGTATTGCGGGTTTGACCCCACCGCAGAGTCGCTGCACTTGGGCAATCTTCTGGGCATCATTGTGCTGTCTTGGTTCCAGAGGTGTGTGTAGTTGCTCTCTCGCTTGGTTTGGTTCGGTTTTGTCCGGTTGAGAATTCTGCTGGTTGAAGTCTACCGGCGATGTTAATGTCGGGTTTCTATTTTTGTTTTATTTCGTGGGACCCTTCAATATGCCCTTCGTATCTTCTCACCCTCCTCCGAACCTGATTCGATTTAAAGCCATAGACCGAAAATTGACATGCCCGTGATGCAATTTGTGAATTGTGCTGGATTGGTAGAGATGCACCGACTCGAGTGCTGTCAAACACATGAATTGGGGAGTAAAGTCTCTTTTTGCTAGTGCAACGTGAAATTTTAATGATTGTGTTTGTGTTTTTACGTTGTGACTGGAAAATGAGATTGTAATTGAGGAATGGTGCAACGCTTTCTGAATTATATGAGTTTTGTTAGAAACGAATATTGTTAATTTGCACGATTACTTTGTTTATAGCAATTTCTCGAGGCAGAATTGAGTTCTAGGGATCAAGGCAATTTTATGTGGTTAACACCGTGCTGAATGAGAATATCTCTTTAAATGCAAAGATGTTGGGGATTTGTTTGATGACATGGTGGCATGATAATAGAAGAACTGAATGCATGAGTTGTTGGCTGGAGATGTTTCCTATTTTGTTAGAGTCTGTTAAACAGTAGTTAAGCGTTCGACTTTGTTCATTCTGTGGTGAACACCTGCTGATTCTGTCATGTAGGTGTGGCCATATCCCAGTTGCGTTGATTGGAGGCGCCACAGGTCGTATAGGGGACCCGTCGGGAAAAAGCAAAGAGAGGCCTGCCCTTGACGATGACACGCTTGTCAGAAATGTAAATGGAATCCGAAAGATTCTCTCGAACATACTGAAGGTATACTTCAGACTTCAATGATAGTTTGTAAACACTCCATTCCAACTGGAGGATCTGAAACCAGTTGAATTCGTCACTAGTACGTGAAAGGGAGTGTTGAGTGTTTCCATTGTTGTGAAGTTTTAGTAGTTTCAGATGAATGCCTTAATGTGCTGTCCGCTGTGGTGTCAAACTATGCATCGAATGCTGAGATATTGAAAGTAGCTTAATACGTCTTTAGTTTACTCCCAGGAACTTGAGGAATCGTAAAAGGTTGTACTGTATACTTGAACTTGCTTGTATGTGACGGGAAACAATAGTTTTCGAAGTTGTCAATGCATAACCTGGTTCTGCACCTCATGTCTGCCTCTGTGTTGGCAGGGGAACTCGGATGAAGACGAGAAAGTCGTTGTTCTCAACAATTATGATTGGTTGAAGGAGATTTCGCTGTTGGACTTCTTAAAGGACGTCGGGAAATATGCGAGAGTTGGGACGATGATGGCGAAGGAAAGTGTGAAAGCACGTTTAAACTCAGAGGACGGCATGAGCTACACAGAGTTTACCTATCAGTTGCTCCAGGGCTATGACTTTGTGCACCTCTTCAGGGTACAGCCCTTCTGTTACGTACTTTCAAATATGATTTGACATTGTTTTCAACTTGTTGTTTATGGATTCTATGGCGGAAATGGTCTTTCGTTCATTTCATTCTGATAAGTTGTATTTGGGAGATCATCTCTTGCTAGATCATTTCAGATGTGAAAACGTCACAGTTCATATGGTTGTGTGTTATGAGCTCAATACTCTATTCTTAGCTTATGTACAACTCTCGTGCGATTGGAGCTGCTGCAGGAGGAGGGGATATCTGTACAGATTGGTGGGAGTGATCAGTGGGGTAATATCACAGCAGGGACAGATCTAGTAAGAAGATTGCTCCAACAAGAAGGAGCCTACGGTCTTACGTTTCCTCTCTTGCTTAAGAGTGACGGGACCAAGTTTGGGAAGTCTGAGAGTGGTGCAATTTGGCTCGCTCCGTCATCTTTGTCTCCATACAATTTTTACCAACATTTATTCGCTACACCTGATGCGGATGTCATTAAGTTCATGAAGCGACTTACTTTTGTTGATATCAAGGAAATTGAAGCCCTAGAAGCCAGTATGAAACAACCAGGATATGCTCCAAATTCAGTGCAGAAGAGACTGGCTGAAGAAGTCACCCGCTTTGTTCACGGAGAGCAAGGTTTAACGGAGGCACTGAAGGCCACGCAAGCTTTGGCTCCTGGAGCAGCTGCGGCGCTAGACTCACAAACCTTGGAGGCAATTGCACAAGATGTTCCTTCATGTTCTATCTCTTACTCAGTGGTTGGAAAACCTCTGGTGGATGTGAGTGTAAGCACGGGGCTTCTTCAAAGTAAAGCTGCCGTTCGACGTCTAATTAAGCAGGTATTTAAGCATGAATATTTCATCCTCAGTAACTTGATGTAGATGTTTACTTATTTTATCTTGAAAATCTTCATAGAAGTACTCATTTCGAACTTCATTTATTCATGCTTTTGAATTTGTTCTCTTGACAGGGTGGTCTCTACTTAAACAATGTCAAAGTTGAAGACGAAGGAAAGACCATGGTAGCTGAGGATATTATAGATGATAAGATTTTTCTACTTTCTGCAGGCAAGAAGAATAGGCTTGTTGTTAGGGTGACAAGATAGTCTTGTTGAAGACTAAGTTTTTCATTGTTCTCTAGAGTTTATCCACCTGACTCGATTTGGTTAGGAAGTAAAACTCTTTCTGACATTTCCTTATACTTGTGGAACCATTGACGCCTGCATTCTAATCTACTGGCTCCGTAATTATGTCTAACTTGACACGAGTGTTGTGGGCTAAAAACTTACTCTCATATGATTGACAAGCTGAACGAGTGGTAGAGCTACATCTTCATTAAGCACGTACACTTTTTACCAATCACCACTCTCTTCCAGGTCACAATGTCCTGGGTTTCTCAGAAGTAGGCAAGAAAAATATGTGTGAACTCCTTGAGACATGATGAAGCTTTTATCACGTAGCACAGATTGAAATTGTGCTCCAAAATAGTTCATAAGATGCCCCAATCCTCATCATGCCAGGCGGAATTTTCAATGCTGCTCGAGGGTTTGAAAATGTGGACATTCTACGATGTATGCGTGTGACACCTGGAACGAGGAGCTTGATGTAACCGTTCTGATCGGAACGCTCGTAGATTACATTAGCTTAGCTTTGTTCATGTGATTCGATGAATTCGAATCGGTCCTCATCAAGGATTGTTTTATGCCTTGCTAGTTACCCAGGACTGTGAACGATCTCGAAGGCAAACTGGACTACGCCCGCTCTGTTGCATGGTCAGGGTGATGGGAGCCAGGCTGCTTTTTCTGTGACGATACAGTTCGTGGTCGTCGTTATTACCTCAACTGCGGGTACCCCATTTTCCACAACATGGGATTTTAATCGTAGGGAATTCATCGAAAACAGAAGTATGTCTTTTGTTTGCTTGAAATTGTGGAGCTCGCTTTTCAATATTGAAGTTAACGTTTATGTTTAGGAGACGTTGCTTGCCTTCCGCCAAACCTACAGTAGGCTATTCGATTAATTATGTGGCGCAATGTCTCGTTGGACCTTCGTGTTGTACAAACTCTACGTTTCAAGATTTCGACCGTCAAAACAATTTCTAACTATCGGCCATTTTTTCAGCCCTCATAATGGTGCTGGACATGAGAAGCAAGTGAATGCCGAGGGATTGTAATAAGAAGTCGAGCTCAAGTGAGGTCACCGCCGAGCACACACAAATTTGGGTCATAATATCCAAAAACTGTAAAACTCTATCGAACAACCTAAATCTTCCGGACATGAGCCAATGCAAGAAGTTTATTGTGGATTTGGGCCCTACTCTACCCACGGAACTCCTCTGTAGTTTGCATTCTGTGTGTGCGCCTGGTTCGTAAGAGTTTAGTCGCACATTCTCGAGGTTGTTAAAGCTGCTCAAGCTGCTTTGAATAAGGAGCACCATTCTTTGTATGTTCGGGTTCATGATGACTTGCAGATGGGGATAGTGTTTCTCGACGACCTGGATACGAATGCTGTAGTATATATATCAGCAAGTTTGCTTTCCTTCAGAAGAGCGCGTGAGAGAAGGCATTGGAGAAGGACTTCAAATGCTGGCTTCAAATAATCGTTTGATATGGGTCAAATAAGACCACAATTTACGGAATTTCAGAGCTTCGAGCGATTTGTTTGTTTAACGTGGTTTTAAATTGAATCTCTCTGTTTAGTTGAGATGTTCTAGCGATAGTGGTTGTGTGAATTTCTCAGGTTATCTAACCCATAGCAACTCTATTCGCGGTACGAGACACGCAAAACAGCGAAGCAGGCACATAGCTGCACTCTAGCTATTTCAGGTTCTGGCGAGATTGTTGAAGTGGTGAATTCTTTGTGGTTTGTGACATACCAGTGCACAAGCATTGTGTTTTGTCGATTGCAGCAGGTCTGAAAGTCATTGTAGTCATACACGATGCAGACGTTTCTATTGACAGAAAGTATTTACTTAGTTTAGGGCTTAAGGTTTAGGTTTAGTAGACTAAATGATTTCCAGTCAGATACAGTCGTAGTGAACATCCTTGTGTAGAGGAATAAGTCAGTGATTGAATGTGGCAGTGAAACTAGTTCGTAATGAATGTAGTGATCTTGCAGTGAGCAGATTGTCTGAACCTAGTTATATGGTCTGATTGATCGAAACAGAGAGAGCATGCAGCTTTTTACGGGATTTATTTTTTTTGTTTCTTCATAACGCTGCCCCACTTTGGACCTTTCTCTGGAAAAGCGCAGGGTCTCGGGGATACGCCGCGTTGAACCCACGAGGTTTGTGAATTCTCAGCTTATGCTCTCTCTCGGATTGCTTGGTTCATATTGTATTCACAATGATCTGATTTTGCTGTAGCGAGAAGATCGATTCAGATTTCCCTCTTCAACATCTTTTGACATGTCTAATCCACGTTTAGGTTTATAACTTGGACTGACAAGAATATTTCTTAACAGGTTGCTATGTGATGTGTTCGATTAAACGGGCTCTCGAGATTAAGTGCTGGGATCGTGTGGCTGTCGTCGCCAAACGATTGATTTCGACGGTTGGTCTTGAGAATCACGGCCGCTTCAAATTACGAATGTGGTCAAGACGGTCGCCTCCTGCTGTATCTAACGTCGGAATACCTCAAACCGTCAACTTAAGGTTTTTCAGCTATCTCGGGGGGGGCGGGGGGTGGGGGTTTTTGGAAAAAAATTGTTTTGAGTAGAGAAATAAGGTTCTGACGTGCTCCAGAAGAAAAAATTGAGTCGCTGCAGTGGTTGAATTGATAAAAAAAAATGATCTAAGCAGTTTTTGCATTTTACCCCTGAACCGAATCGTAGACTTGAGCAAAACCGTCCGTAAAAACAGGTTAAACCACTACCTCCATCACGGAAAACCACCGCCTTCATCGTTGTAAAGTTCGCTGATGATTGGTGGAATTGGAATCAACTCGGAGTCTTTCTACATTCTTCTAAGCGGTTTTGGATTTGTACAAGGGTGGTTTCTGACAATGTCTACGAGTTGGTTTAAGGGCCTGACACGGTTTAAGGTATTTCGACGTTAATCGTCGAAATCGAATCAAGCGCAGCAGAGGAATCCTAGACAGCAACAATCCAGCTGTTGAGTTGTATACCACAATGAACATAACTCTTTTCCAAGCTCCGAGCACTGTACATGTGGTTACTATCCTGGAAGTCGAGCACTTAACATAGCTCATCGAATTGAAATGGCTGAGGCGATACTTTCCGAATTGGCGCGAAAATCTCGAGAAAGCACTAAACATAGTACAGGTGCCTCCTCAAGTGGTCTCAATAGGGTTTCGGAGAACAATAGGGTCCATGTCAGGAGGGATAGCATTCAAATCCGAAAAAAGCGAAAAGGGAAGACAGAGGAGCAAGATTCGCCTAAACAAAGAAAAAAGGTGGATGCCAAGAACTTGGAATCGAATCTTTCGTTCACAAGTTTCCTGAGATGCTGCCTAATTTCGTAGAGTCCACATATATGCGGCAGCTGAACTGAGGTTCGATTGGTGTTCCGATTATAGCGCATCTAAAATGCTTTGGCTTACTGCCTCCGGGTCGGCTGAATCGTGCCACGACAGGCATATAGTGGAATTCTCACTTCACGCAATTGGGGTCCGTGAGTTTGTTTTGCAGCTAGCTACGTGTGAAGCTGCTTCATGGCGGTAATACATCTGAACTGGCGCTGTGATCCTTCAATCTGGTGCGCGGTAGGCGTGAACAGGGCTAGGCGCAATCCCAGGTGATGCTGTAGCCGGGAAGGAGACATTTGAAGGAAATATGGAGAAAAATTTGTGATCGATTGTTTAGGTCTTGTGATGTTGAAGGGAGGGAAATGGTCGTTTCAATGTTTTTGAGCAGATCGATTCTTCGTTGAGTCGATTCGCTTATAGCTTCACGTGAGGAAGAGCTAGAGCCTGAATTTCTCGATAATTGTCAATCTCAAGGGCGTAGACGTGGATTTGAATCGAAAGAATTTCTGCGGGTTTTAGCGCGCAGACAGGAGGGAGGAGTTAAACTATCCTTGAGGACGAGAGACATGGCACAGGCAGTGGGATTGGGAAGATTACCAGCCCCTCTCTCGGAGGAGAATAAAGCATGGATGACGAATCAACTGGAAAGCTACAGCACATGGCAAATGAATGCGGCGGGCTTAGGCCGAGCGTTGTATATCCTAGCAGCAGTAGTGTTTTCTGCAGTTGTATGTTTTGAGCAGTACAGCAAGAGGAAAGAGAGGTTGTCGAAGGTGCCACCCGGGCCTTTCCAGTGGCCATATCTGGGAAGCCTTCCATACCTGATCCGAACTGTAGGTTTAAGATCCTCGACCAGATTACGGGAGAAGATTACTGAGCTTGCAATGAAGCATGGGCCTCTCATGTTTCTGCAAATCGCGGATACGCAAATTGTGGTCGTTTCGAGCGGTAAAATTGCCAAAGAGGTGAGTGGACGCAATTTCCGTTACTTCATTCTTGCAGTTTTTTTTCATACATTTGAATGGTAATTTGGCTGGTGTTGCGATCTCCACAATCCAGTCAACAATAATGTTCTTTTTTCTTTTTTCTTTTTTTAGAAGAGATCATAACATGTTCGTCATAGAGTATGATATGCATCGAACAATTGAAAGAGGAAAAGAGATTGTTGCACGTATCCCCCATCACTTGACCAAATATTTTGGTTGGAAACATCTCTAGTTTTGATGTAGATCTCGTAACACAGTAGCCTGTGTCACGTCCGGAGCTTCGTCATCTACCCCTCATCGTCTTGTTTCATGGAAACAGCTCAACGACATGGTTATATCCTTGAGCTGTTGCAGAAAATATGGAAAGCATAGAGCTCATTTTAATCGTTTGGAATCTGTCTTTTTTCTAATCCATGTTTGCCACTCATTGCTAGCAGCCGGTGGATCAGTTGATTTACGCCCGGCACTGATTACATAGATGTAGGTTTTCAAAGCGTTCTAAATGATATGCCTTGGAAATTGTCTTAGGTGCTGGTTGCGCATGATGCAGAGTTTTATTTTCGGCCGCGATGCTTAGTGGGGAAATACTTAGGATTCGATTCCACGAACATGGCATTCGCCGAAGGCAGGAACCATTGGCGTCTGCGCCAGCTCTGCGACAAACATCTCTTCTTGCCTGAATGTTTCGCCTCTTATGGCCACGTTCAAAAACAAGAAGCGGAGAAAATGCTGCACTCTGTCTGGGAGGCCACCAAGAGAGGAGAAAACATATCTGTTCGACACACAGTTATCACCTTTGCGCGCAACAGTTTGTGTAGGATGCTGCTGGGGACAGCTCATTTAGACATCGAGAATACAAGCCTGGAGTTTAATAAGGAGACCTTGATCACTTTGCTGGATGAGGCCTTTGCTGTGGCGGGTGAAACGACGCTCATCGATTTGACGCCTGGGCTGAATTGGCTAGATTTTCATGGTCGAGAGCAGAAAATGAAGTACTTGCGTCGACGGTTGGAAAAATATTTTCAAGAGATTCTTGATGATCGTTCACAGCGCTTGGACCGAAGTGAACCTGAGGCTTTTGTGGATGTTTTGCTATCTCTGGATGAGGACAAGACACTCTCCGACGAAGCCATGATGGGTGTTCTCTTGGTATGATCCTCTCTCCTCTATTGAATCCCTGCTCGAGTACAAACTACATTCAACCTCACAAATGGTGCTTAATCTCAGACATCCAACATCTTGATTGGCGTCTGTATTTCTCCTGAGCTTGCAAGAGTTTGTCTCTGGTCAAGAGTGATGTCACCATAATGCCTTTAGTCGGAATTTTCATGGATGGGACCCTGTCTATCACTTTCTGCACTGTAGTGCAGTCTATGTATCTGTTCTGAAGGACTTTAAATAAGATATTTATGGATGATGGATTTGTGTTTGCAGGATACATTGGTAGCGGGCACATATTCAATCAGTGCCTCTGTAGAATGGGCTCTTACAGAGCTTGTTCGTAACCCTACAATGCTTGAGAATGTCCAAAATGAAATAACTCAAGTTGTTGGCCCGCATCACATTGTGGAAGTGACGGAGTTTTCTCAGCTTTCTTACTTTCAGGTGAATTTCCTGAAACGTTTGGACCCTGCAAGTTTTGGATCGCTGACGTGAGATCTGTCCATTTTCACATGAGCTACTGCCTTAGCATGTCGCACCAAATGTAGGGTTAGCATAGTTTCAATCCCTACGCTCATGGCATCTAACCTTGAAAACGACTAATCAGAATTGTAGTGATAGTTTTTATTTTATGTTTCTTTACTGCCAGGCGCTATATTTGCTTTTAACTCGGTACTTTGGCCAATCTGCAGGCAATCGTGAAAGAGACACTCCGTCTTCACCCAGCGATGCCCATGTCAATCCCCCACATGAATAAGGTGGCAACTCCTCTATCTTCATATGAAATTCCTCCAAACACATCTGTGGTAGTTGACTACGCAGCAATAGGACGTGATTCTGAAATATGGCCGAATCCACTTGATTTTGACCCGAGGCGGTTCACAGACACAGACGCAGCATCTCAAATCGACTCATTCAAATTTTTGCCCTTCGGGTATGGTCGTCGTGTATGCCCCGGGGCAAACCTTGGACTTCGTTTACTGCAACTGGGTTTGGCTCACCTCGTCCAAGGCTTCGACTGGATCCCAATCGAAGGGCAGCTCCCTCACGACATCGATATTAAGGAGTCTTCTGGGGCCATTTGTTTTAAGTCTACACCGCTGATCTTGAGAGCCATTCCACGACTAGCTAGCACCTTGTATGAGATTTAAACAGGAAGACGTAACCATTTTCACCATTCTGATCCTCATGAGGCTTGGGCGCAGCCACTCATCTCTGTGGTAGAACGTCGGTAACGATGGATTCTTTCCCTTTCCAATTCCTCAACAATCCAGAACCAGCTCTGCAATTCTGACCTTCATGCACTTTACATAGGGAGAGTTTTCAGAGAAACATTCATAGCCTAGTTTTGAACTCTTGGGGTGTCACCTTCCAACTATCCCGGGTGGCTCTAACTTGATCGTGGAACTGGAACCTGATGAACAGGTAGCACAAATATACGTGCTAATACCTGTACGCAAATCGAAAAAGTCATTATTGTTATGTTGGATTTTTCCTCGTGCAAAATCGGGCTACGATGCGGAGTGGAGAATGAGGTTTCTGATTAGTCAGGTGTCTACTTTTTATTTTCTCCTTTTGTGTTTTTATAAACCAAAATTTGTTTGTCTCAGCTTCATTGCATATGCAGAATGGCAAGGGGGGTGGTTGAGTCTAGGACTTCAGCTTCGGCACGTTTATTCAGTCTGCTGAAACCCATGCCACACTCTGCTGTGATTCTTTCCATTCCTGCCACCGATTTCGGATCGAAGGTGTGGGTTACCCAACACTGGAATCTCGAGGCATCTTCGTCAAAAGAATTCTTATGCTGCACCAGTTCCAACGCTGAGCCTTCCATGGAGATTTGCTTCAATAGCTTCTGGACTGATCAAGTCCCAACGAGGAACGATTAATGAGGTTTTAAAACACTGTTTTGAGTGGCCTCACAGTGCATCGTCCAGGGTTCGGGGTGCGAGAATGTGGTGCTGCTCATTGTCGGAGCCTCGAAGGCAGGCAGGAACAATCACTTAATTCATTTATTCAATCCTAGTGATACTACATGGTCAAAAGATGTGGAGCGTGCATTCCCCTAACATTCTGCCTAAACAATTTGGGTTTTCCTAACAAGTTTGAATCAAGGTGGCTTATGTTTTTTAATGGTTTGATGCAACATGCAAAGAGTCGTCTCTAAATAGGTAATTAATCACATCGGATTGTGTACATATAGTTTACAGATGTATCAGTACTATCCCCAACAAAATGGAGGGATCAAGGAGCCAAAAAAGGAATAAAGGAAGGGGGGGGGGGGATTGAATATGTGGGCCCAGTTGGATTTTAGGGTTTAGGGGTTATGATTCAGGGGTTATCACAAATGCTAATCTCAGCCTCGTCGTTCCCGAACCTAGTCCAGCCTCGTCATCGCCAGTCCTAGCACAGCCTCCTTGGATCTTCTCGATCACAAGAATACATCTGGCAACTTCATGGGTGGATGAATAACATGGATGGATGGATGAGTGTATGGATGAATGGATGAATGATGGATAGCTGTTCTGTTTTTTCATTTTTATTTTTAAACCGTGTTTTCGATATTTTCATCCAAGAGCACACAATTTTGTCAAAATTTTGTTCTCAAAGAATTCGAAGAAACTAAGAAGTGGTATATCAGGTGGAGAGGATATCAGTAGCTTTGTTTGACGTAGAATGAATTGAAAGTGTTTTCAAAGTAAGTATAAAATAAAACATATAAACATCTAAATATATATATATATATATATACACACACACACACTTTCAAAGATATTGCATGTTGTTGTAATGTCATTTGAGGACCACCCGGGTTTTGTGAGAGGTTAAGCAGCTTTTTTTGTCCTTGAAGAGCAGGAGTTTTTCTTTTTCCCTCCTTGACTTGCTTTGTAGGCTTGCAATTTGGCTGGATTGGAATTCATAGCAAACTTATGCACATTGACTTTTTTCACAATAACTTTCTCCAAAGTTATACCATATTGTGTTCCCATCACCTTCATTCTCATTTATTCTATGCATACATACATACATACATTAGAAAAATAAAAATAAAAAACATAAACATAAACGTAAATACATATTAAAAATCAAAAATTAAAGGTTGAAAAAAGTAAAAAAGAAAACATTATAAAAATAAAATAAAATAACTATTTTTGAAAAAATGACTCTAGAAAAATTGAGCAAAGTTGAAGTAGAAACCCCAGAAGTTGTCACAAAACATTCATACACAGTTTTCTTAAAAATACATCTATATATATATATATATATATTATTTAGTTTAATTTATAATATGATAAAAAGACACAAATGCTACAAACTATTTTTAGATGTTTTTTTTTTGCTTATTTTATTGGTGCTGTTTTCCATTCCAAATGTGACCATACAATCCTTCTCATTCTCCTTGGAGTTTGAGTTTTAATGGTACTAGACTTCCCCTCAAATACATCAATCTACAACTTGGTCCTTGCAACAATCATGGAGTTCCCATCTTTCCATGGTGCTCCCAACATGGCAACATTCCCAAATGTCCTTTTTGAAAAATAAAATAAAAAAATAAAAATAAAAAAGGTTTAATGTACTTTCTTATTCTTTTTTCTTACTACTTTTTGTATTTAAAAGACTAAATCAAGTTAAGATGCATTCACCCAATTTCATGTTTTTACTCTTGTTCATATTTTCAATCAATATTTGATCCTAAAGATTTATATTTTGAATCTATAGAAAATGATACCCTAAAATGGAATTAATGCATAAAAAGACACTTGTTTGTTTCAGATTTATTTCCATGTAGAGGAGTTTTCTTTGAATTAAATATTTGTTGAATTTCCAAAAAAATATCAATTAATATATATATATATATATATATATATATTATCCTTGTTATGTTACAAATTATATTGGTTTTCCATTACATATATATATATATATATACACCTTCTTATATTGTACAAGTAGCTTCCATGGATTTGTAACCTTTCTAACAATGATCATGTAAAAGAATAATACCAAGTCCTACCACCACCCAAGGAGGTCAAAGGCATTGGAAGAAGAGGGGCCACTCCTATTGCCATCAAGCTTGGTGTCCTTGGTTCCATGGCAACAAACTCCATAGGATGCCACCACAAATCACATTATATTCATGACAAAACTACATATCCATTTCCTCTATTTTGTACAACTTCTTCCTTTTGTGTGTGGCATCTTCCTCCCTATTGTGGATTCAATCCTATATGGTTCAAAAATTACAAACTTTTCCAATCTCTCTCTCTCTCTCTCTCTCTCTCTCTCTCTCTCTATATATATATATATATATCAAACAAGGATGGACTTCACATCAAACTTCAAATTGGGACTATTGAATTGGACGAATGGAGGAATGAACAAATGAGCAATAACTTGTATTAGATGCATGAAAAAACTCGTGTCATGTCCTTTGGAGAAACAGAGACAAAAATAAATAAATAATAAATAAAAAAGGGAGTCGAAGTATGAAACAATAGAGTAGAATGAATGATGTTTTCAGAGAGTGGTTTTCATGTCCCAAGCAGTGCCAAAAGCTTATAACATACACATGCTTTGCATTCAAGGTAGGGCCCATTGCAACCACTTGGGAACACAAACAAAGAATAGTATTCCTCCAATAAACTGTATGGAAGTAAGTTAATATCATTCCCCCTTCACAATTGCTAATGTCCAAGGACTGCAGAATCACATGGATTCACTTCCTTATACTTCTGAGTCTTTCATAAATACACAGACCATGTGCATGTACATTAAATGCACCCAATATATATATATATATATATAGAATTGAACTTGGATGCTTCATTATGTGTGGTTGGAGGACTCCAATTCAGCACATGAATAAAAAGTCTTGGTTGGTGTCTTTTATGAGGATATTTGGCTTTTAAACTGATGGTAAAGCTACTCGTGTCTTTCTATATATTAGAAGCTAAAACAAGCAACACTACTAGGGCTGTTGAAGAAGAAGCAATAGGAGAAGCAGAAGAAGACAAAATGCATGAATTCTTTTTTATTCACACATTTTGCTTCATTCAATATTCCCTCTCCTCGATCATGCTGGAATATAGCATTTTGTCAATAATGAGTGAATGGCAGCATGAGTCTAAATTGAAGCTAGAAGAAAAAAAATAAAAATAGTGAAGTCAATGCTACCAAAATGGTTGGGGCTGAGGTGTCATTTATGGCCCTCTTTTTTTATTTTTGCTTTTCATTCATCTATGTACACATAAATCTATCTGTCAAAATCCATCTATTTTTCCGATTCATTTGATTGTGGGGTTCCAAGCACAAAATCAAACAAGGATTTCCAGAGCTTAGAGCCTTCAATTACCTTGAATGCTTATTGATTGGGTCCACGACCCAAAGAAAAGAGAAGAAAAGAATCAAAATATGCCCTATTTACGAGTTATGTATGTGGGTATATAATGCAATCCAATAAATTCACCTTATTTGTAAGAAACCATGTGGGGGACATTTTTTTTTCTTCTCACGTGCTAGAGGATCCACAATATGGACTTGGATGCCCCAATGTTTCACAGGCCCTTTGGAGCAGGGGAGAAAATTCACACCTAGCCCTAAAACCAGGACCTTTGGGGCAATAAAAACAAGGGGAAATATCACAGATGCCTCTAAGATGTCCCAAAATATCAAGAACACCCCTGAATTCTTGATAATAGCAAAGCTACCCCTACATTTTGTGATAGTTGCAAAAATGTCCTTTTCACTGATAACCTATCTACTTCCAGTTTTTTTTAGTTTGAACTGGGGCGAGGAGCGGCACTTTTCTGCACTGCCTGCACTCCGCACCAATTAAAGGCCTCTCTTTACTGACATTTTCTCTTCTTCACTGCTGAGGCTCGGTGAGCACTAACGTGGTCGCAGCAGCAGCCTGCAAACTCACAGCCCATCCAGATTAAACCTGATACTCCCCCAATCTCTTCAGGTATTTCTGTGAAGTGGAAACATTCAAACAAACTCCCACCCAATGCTGCATAGATGCCCAAGCAGGTGGTCGCGGCGATTCCATTGCCCAACCCTATCAACAACACGAGATGTCATCTAACGCGCAAATATTCGGGGGCTCTTGAAGGCTTTTAATTTCACAGCAATAGATTATTCAATTGTTTTGTCAAACTAACAGTGAAACTGGGCAAGTGTTGATCAGTGTACAGACGATGGGCTTGCCTCGACCAGCACAAAGTTAACAAAGCCACTCCCACCGAAAGATGAAGTACTTCATCGCAATGGTGCATAGCTACTACAAAATGTTCTTATCAGTATTTCTAGAAGTTGTTGAACAAGGTTTTTATAAAACCTCTTAAACGCATGAACCCCTTCGCCGTTTGCAGTGCAAGTCTCGAAAGACGAAACCTCTTCGTACAACTCGGATGAACCACCTCCAGCCCAGACTTGGACCAGGCTAGCAATACAATGCAATCGTCGATGCACGAGTTGCAGATGGGTCCCTGGCCTGGCCTATACAAAGCGCTTCATTCTACTCACCTTCCCTCGGTTCTAGACATC